AACAGAGTACTGGTGCTTGTGGTTGGGGGCACCGTCAAACAGGCAGAAGCTTAACTTCCCACCGGAAGTGACTCCTCACTGCGCTTCAGGACTTCAGAACCTGGCGTGCTGGGGATATTCTACAACACACCCCTGGTGAGAGGGATTCCACCCATGAAACAAAACTGTGGCTGCTAACTGAAAGGTGGGTGGTTTGAACCCCATAGCAGCTCTGAGGAAGAAAGATCTGGTTAAATGTGGTTATGTTGCCCTAAGTCTCTCCACCTCCTTCCTAAAGGCCAACCCGTCTTCATCTTTCAGTTCTCGCAGTGACTACAGTCTTGGAAGACACTCAGAGGGCTCTACTTGGTCTTATAGGAATGCCAGCTGTTACCAGCAGACAAGCAGAAATGGGGCGGGGCCTGGTAGAAGGGACTTCTCATAACCTAGAATTTAATTTTATTCAGTAGTTTTACATTTTAGAGGGGCAACACAGAGATATGAGTAACCCCTTCCCTTCCTGTTTTCCAATGAAAGTCAACCGTGGGGGGATACAAATGACAATGCATGACTGGATCAACTTAAAGATACTGAGCTAGCGCACACCACACTTCACAAGTCCTACTTTATGTTTCATCTATCACAACTCCAAGTCTGTGGGAAAGCTGGGGAACGCACGCCTCCTGCTGAGAACACCAAATGTCAAGGTCAGATTCCAGTTCCAGACCTCCCTAGAGCTGGTCCTGCAGACAGGCCCTCTCCCACCCCTCCCCATTAAGAGGCAGCGTTATAATGTTGTCACAGTGCCTGGAAGGGGTGTCCTCCCTAGCATCAGAGGTCAAGGTAGGCCTGTCCACACCTCAGTGTCCAGCCCTCAGGGAGGGAAGTCTTGCTGCACCAGGGCCGGAGGCAAACCCAAGGGAAGGAGCAAGGAACAATGGTCCCCCTATCCCCCATCAGGAGCATCCTTGGCAAGCCCGGGCTATGGAGGATTCTGAATGCTTACAATTGCACTGCTTGGGAAATCAGCCTGAAGGCAGAACCCCAGCTCTCACACAAAACTAAGAGGAACCTGTCACCATTAAGCCCCCACGCAGGTTTGAGTTCAACAGCAAGTATCCCTGGGTCCCTGCGGCTCATCTCCCAATGCCATCTCATCTACATCTTTTAGTTCCAATGCTTAGGTACTGAGAATCACACACACACGTAAAGTGCCATTTACTGGCTGTTCTGATGTATCTTTTTCATTAACTATAGAAGAGAAGGAATCCTCATCCACAAAGACTGGGTGGCTGCCTAGAATAGTGTCTCGCATACAACACCTGATCAATATTATACCCATTCCCTCCCTTTTTGACCAACGTGTAAGGCTCTGTTAAAAATGTGACCCCCAACTCTATAATTTTCTCAACACCCCATTTGGCTAACTCAACCCCAGACTTCAGTGGACTGTCTAGGCTACATCGATGCCGGCTGCACTGAGCGCTACTTAAGAGCGACCCTACAGGCTTACAGGTATTGTGTGTTTATAACGGAGTGTAACCAGCTTACGCAGAATCACGATAGTGATGTATTTTTTGTTATATGAACCATAGAGCCCAAACATGGCTGAGAAAGACACCATTTTATACCCAACTGCTCCCTGCTGAACTTTGAAATGCACATGTTAACATTTGGTGCTTGGAGTAGTCAGGTGCTTTTATTTTTATTTTTTACAATTTTTCAGTTGTATCGTGAGATATAGGAAGACTTCCGGGGTAGTGGAGTTTGGACAATAATTATCACAGAGCTTCACGTTGGTTTCTGTTATTTGTTGTTCTGGGGCATAGGGTGGCAGTCAGAAAGATTGTAATGGGATTTGTTTGTAGGGCAGGGGACTCCCCAGAAGACTTCTCTGTGCTGACACCATTTACTCCTGAGGAGACGTCAAAAGAAACGGAGGACAGACTCAAAGAGCAGAGAGAGAAGTCCCTGCCTCAGACTTCAGAGAAACCTCCCCCAAGACAGGGTCTACTGGGAAGTCTCTAAACCACAGGGCTCATGTGGAAACACAAGTACCACACACCCTCACACTCACCTATGCAGACACAAATGCACAAATGTGCTGGCAGGCACACCCACCTGTTAACAGACAACAAAGGTGTTAGTTAGGCTGTCCAATGTCTACGTGTGCCGTCAACCTGATACTATCCACTCAGTCATGTTCACATGTATGCAAACATGTCCCATAAATATACCTCCCTGTGTAGGGAGACTTACATAGCAGGACTTGTGGTTTGGGGTTGGGAGGGGCAGGGTAACCCATTTCAGTCAGCCAGTAAGCTCAGGGCATCCCAGAGCTGAAACCACATCTAAGGTAGTCAGCGCTCAAAAGTGAGGGTGAGACGGGACAATGTGAGGGTCCTTGTCTAAAACCAACTCTGGTTGAGGGGAAGGACCACTGCATCATTCCCACCCCACACAGCCACCACCCCACAGCAGCAAGGACTTCCAACGAGCCAAGCGAGGTCTACCGGGAGCGCGCAGTCAAGCCACGTGTGGTCCAGAGTCTGTCTGTGTGGACTGGCACACCTCAGAGCTACTGCAGGTTCCATCGGTTTTAGTGAACAGCGATAATGCGAGGATCGCAATAAAGTGAACCGCAGAGGCTTTTGGTTCCCCGGCACATACAAAAGGCATGCTCGCACTCTACTGTTTAGTGTGCAACAGCATCGAGACACATGGCGCCCACTTGGGAAAATGGAGCAGGTAAGACACGCTAGACACCGAGTGGCCCCAAGCCTTCAATTGATCAACAAAGCAGGCTGTGAAGCTCAATAAAATGAGGTTGGTAACCAAGAAAGTGACTGGCTGGCCAACCCAACGAACCGACCAAGCAGAGGGGGGCGAGCAATCATGGCAACCCAAGCGTTTCTCTGGGTGCTTCCTCTAGAAATGAGAACAAGCGTGTTCTGCCTTTTGATTTAACTGGGAAGGTGAAGGGTGGATGAGCTAAAACTTCTTAGAACCCCTTCAAAGTCTAGGGAGGTAGACCTTTAAAACTTCCGTTCATGGACTACTTACCCAAAGCTCACATCTTCAAAAGGACATACTTAGGAGAAAATGGTATCTACTGGCTAAAGCGCTGCCAGGGAAGAGAGCATGCGCAGTACACATACTCTTCGTTAAGCTCGCCTACTCGTTAACCATTAAATGCCCCCAGTTTAATGATGTAGGCTGAAAGTTGGAGAGAAATCGATCAACACTGAAGGCAAATGAAGTCCTGTCTCTTGGAATGCGAGCATATACCCTGCTAGGCGGAGGGCACAATTCCCTCTTTTAAAAGGAATATCCTCTAGTGGTCCCAAGAACTGAAATAAAAGTACACTGAATTCAATTGGGTGAAACCAGAAAAAAATTTACATGCTATCTGCATTTGCTCCCACTGCATCATGACTCATTGACTCAAGCTCTGAAGGCCGATTGCTTGACAAGGATCTTGCGTTTTATTTTGTGATTCTTCCAAAATGAACTTGATACAAAGTCAGTATAAAAAAAATGACATTCGACTGAACACCAGAATAATTCTAGAGTCTGCTGTCCTCCCGTGCAAAGGATGGATGTGGGGGAAGAGGAGGTGGGAATACATTCCTTCACTCGGACCTTTCGTCCCCACTCTGCTGTAGAGGACACACGACATGCCCCCTTCCCCCTCCCGGGAGGCTGTGGGTCTCCACCTGCACCTCTTCAGGGAAGGTAATTGGAGAGAGGGTCTATGCACCGTTTGTTGAATGCAGATGTGCAAGACGTCGAGGAGGTTGCTGATGTTAGGTGCCTACACGTTGGCATAGTGAACCATCAACTCATACTGAGCAAACGATGCCGGGCCCCACGTCATCTTCACGATCTTTGTTCTGCTTGAGCTCAATTCACCATAAGGTATGTGGTGGCCCAAGGGACTGTGCCGTTCTTTAACTGCGAACCAAAAGGTTGGCGGTTCAAATCCACCCAGTGACTCCATGTTAAACCCACTGGGACAGTTAAACTCTGCCCAATGGGCTCGGAGGTAGTCAGACTCTACATGCGGGCAAACAAGAGCATCATCCAAGATGAACTGCTGGCACTTCCAACTCAACTGCCCTGTGGTCGTGGTGCAGCGGCCCTGGGCACATTCTCTACGTGTGATCACCTTTACGCAGCCAAAGTCTCACGCACGGCTACTACCTCTCACCCTATCTTCCAAAAGATATTTCCTGAGAAAGATGCCTCCATAAGGAACTTCCAGCCTTGAAGGGACCTACGGCAACAACTAAGAGCATCATGGGTAGGTAGGTGGCATGTCTTTCAGAAATGGAAACAGCTGTGGGATAGCTGGGCTGTAGGCAGCTGTCACTCCATCCTCCTTGCTTCTCCCCCAGCACATGTCGGGGAGCTGTGGGCTACCCATTCCAGACTGGTGTTCACTTTGTCATGTCCAGGTGTATGACAGATGCCCAAAGCCAATTTGGATTTTAAAAACCATACAGACACACCGTTGTGTACCCAAGATGCATAGGCAGCAGGCGTGTACACACACACACAGAGCCCTCCCAGCGTCCTCCTAATAAAGCAAGGTCTGTGCATTTCCCTGACACCTGGCAGAAGCATGCATTTCTCAAGGTTTGTTGTGGAGCCAAGAGACCAAGGCCGTCGCCCTGAGAGGTGACTGCAGAATTCTGGGACGGCTGCTTCCCCAGGTAGCGTCTGTCTCTCAAAGCCAGAGAGGAGGCTACTAAAAACAGTTGTTCTTCCAGACACAGGTCATTCTAGACCCCAAGTCTAGCTCCATCCTTCTCCTCTAAGCCTGACAGCCGTTACGGTTTTACTTTCTCCCCCATCTGTCCTCTCCTGAAAGTACTATCAAAGTCAGGGGTGGACACAGCCAAGAGGGTTTGCTCAAGGGGGGCGAGAGCACAGAGACTGGACATCAGCCGTTACCAGGGCAGCAGGCAATGCTTGGTTTCTCGTGGCAGGGTGGCTTGGTACGAAAGCTTCGAGTGATCTTATTGTCCATGGAGACTAAGGCGGCACCAAGCTGCACCAGCCGGTGAAAGGTCACAGTGTTGGTCTCCCCTGGTTGGTGTGGGACAGTGTATGAGGGGGCGGGGCAGGTGGGTGAGGCTGGAAAGGCTGGGATTCCTGTACCCTGGTGGGCATTTCTATACCTTCTCACATAGAGGGCCTGACCTGTGAAACCGGCCCAAGTGCTCAAAGGATGAACCAGGTCCTGATCAACCCTGAAAGAAGGGCCCTTCTTGTGAGAGCTTCCAGCAGATGGTCAGTGTGGGGTGAGGGGGGTGGGTCGGGGATGGAGTAAACACAGGAGTCAATCAGAGCCAGAGGCTAAGAAACAGGGATGGGTGGCTTCCTCTTTGGGAAAATCCAATCCAATCACTTGATCGATGTAAAGTGAGTGTCCATACTCCTTGTCGCTGTAACCTTTCCCTGAAGGACCTAAGGCAACTGAGAACACAGACAGCAAGGCATTTTCTGAGCTGTCCGGCTCCACAAGGGGGCTGTGGGAGCAGAACATTTGCACACAGACATAAGTGGACATGGAACGCCTGGTTTCTTGAATGAGCCAAGCCCCTTGGGTGCCCTGGAAGCGATGGGAGAACGTGGCCAGAGAAAGGCAGGGACTAGTTGTAAGGCAAGGTTCCCAAAAATGCGCCACCAGCTCCAGTTTGGTGAACAGCTGCAGAGAAACTCCGGGGAAGGGTGTCTTGAGAAGTCCCACCGACAGGAGTGAGATGTCGTCACCACACACCCCCCCCCACCCTCCTTCTGGATAAAGTGCAGATGGCCAAAGGGGACTACTGGTCTATCACCTGCCAGTTTCAGTCAGCAATGAGGAATCACACAGAAAGACACCCCTCTGGTACACACACACACACACACACACACACACACACACACACCTATATATACTTTTTTTTTTTCTTTATAAAGCCACAAATATCGAACTTCCTAAACCGATGTCTCGGACTGTAGGCGAAGCACGAATCTGTGAGACTTGGGGTCTATGAATTCTTCTGAGAGGACGATGAAGGGTATCTTCTTCACACTGACGACGAGGCTGAAGTCCAGGCACTTCAGGACAAAAACGATTCCGTCCTTCAACCCGTGAGTCACTGCCTCGTCACTGACGAGTCTCCACTGAGTCGAGAGCCACCGGTCCTTGTCATACTGCAGGGTGGGGCCGGCGCTGAGGTAACGCTCTAGGAAGGCCTGCAAACAGAGCAGAGAGGCGGTGAAGGAAGCGCCCAGCTCTGGGGAGTGCTGCCTCCCACTCTGCCAGGGGCCAGCCATCTGTATGCCCCTCAGCCAGAAGATGACTAGGGTCAAGCCCAGGCCTCACAGAGGAGTTGGTGTTGGGGAGGGTGCGGGGGCTGGTAGCCAGAGGGAGCGAAGGGCGGGAGGGCTGGGGTCCGAGTCTGCCTAGCAGCCGTCACGGACCCACCCACCCACTGCAGTGCCCTCAGGTCAGGTGGGAGCCGGTCACTGCTTTCAATGCTTGTAGGTCAGCATGCAGTAAGGGGACGACGGCAGCCCCCAACTCACTGGGATCCTGTGAGGAGGAAACAAGCTCACTCCTCTACAGCACACTCATCTACACTGGGATCACGGTGAGCAGACGATCAGCATGAGGGATGGTTCTTACAGGCTGAAATGAGAGCACTGGAGGCAAGTCCCAGGGGAGAGCAGGCCCAGGGCTGACCTGCCTCTCACAGCACCGAGCGCCTTGGTGGACCCAGTTTTCCCTGCGCTGATCTTCCTGCTCCAAACCAAAGACACGTGCTCCCACAGAATCCATTCCGACTCATCGCTGCGGCCCTCCAGGACTGAGCAGGACTTCCCCCGGGGGTTTTCAAGACTGTGGCTTGTGGGAGTAGAAAGCCTCCCTTTTTTCTTATGGCTGGTTGTTTTCAACTAGCAACCTTGTGATTAACAGCCCTACGCGTAACCACTACACCACCAGAGCTCTTGCCGTTCCTTACCATTCGATCTTCCCCCAAGCCGCCTCCTTGAACCTCTCACAGACATTAGGATGCCCTTGTCTAAGTGTCTTTGACCACTGGGCATGATGCTAGTGGGGGTTTACTTCTGACCATTCAGGGCCTGAGACCAGTCTTCATGCTTGCAGAGGGCAGGAGCTGGGCTGTTACAATATTTACTGGACTCTTCTGTGTGTGCTGCGTAGAGGAGGGTCAACGGCATGTGCATTACAGCAGTAACTATGCTGATTTAATGTAGGAACGGGGAAGAGCAGAGCACTGACACAGACAGGGAGGCGCGGACACGGCAGTCCTGCCCTAGGCACAGGTCAGGGGTAGTTTGTAAGTGGTGACCCCTTTTCAGCCGCGCCTCACTGCTCCTTGTGTTTGTGTTATTTCTGGTCTCTGGGAAGAAGGCTGCATCTTTAGTACAAAACACGTCGACTGCAAATGAAGCTTTGATGAATCCGTAAGAAAAAGAACTCAAAATGTAAAGAAATAAAAGCAGGTTATCTACAGATAAATAATTAGTGCAGATAAAAAAAGAAAAAGATGCTCCACTAAATGACAAGGACATGTAGTTTAAGACTATAAAAACACCTGCATCTTCCTCCAACCAAATAGTCCATGGGTGAGCAGAATGCTAACACCAAGCGCCTTCGAAGGGTGTTGGGACACGAAGAGCCTCATCCGTAGAGGGGCATGTCACCTTCCTGCACACGCAGGCATACAGGGGTGCTTTAAAAAGTTCATGGGGAAATGAAATGCCGCAAGAGCATGGGACTTTCCCCACAAGCGTGATGAAGATCCCATGTAGTCTGCTCCCGTGCAAACCGTGTCTTCCTATTTTGCGTTCCGCTGCTTTTCAACTCAGTAGTCCAAAAAACGTTTTTCACATTTCAACAGTTAGCACTGTCATTGAGCTGATTCTGACCCACAACAACTCTAAAGAGCTGATGTGGGTCTCACACCGTGATCCGGCCGGGTAGATGCTCTCACCGCATCCAGTTTACAGATGAGGTGACAGGTGCAGAGCAACCTGTTCCAAGCCACCACCCACGTCCGCGGGGGAGCCAAGGTTATATATCCACCTTTGTATACAGAGAGGTGTGTGTAACACCCTTACTCTATTTTGCCTCCGTGACTCCACCCCTCTATTAATAACCCAGCT